AAGGTGCGGTTGGCCTTCCTGACCGCGTCCCCACACTGCCGGCCCATGTTCATTTTGGCATCAATAATGACTCCAAGATCCTTCTCTGCCTCTGCACTGACGAGAAGGGAGTTCCCCAGCCTGTAGGTGTGCTGCTGGCTCTTCCTCCCCAGGTGCAGCACCTTGCACTTGTCAGTGTTGAAACCCCTCCTTTCTCATCCGCCCACCCCCGTAACCTGTCCAGGTCCAATTGCAGCCTATTCCTCCCTTCTAGCGTGCCCACTTCCCCGCACATCTTAGTGTCGTCTGCGAATTTGAACAGGGTGCTTTTTACACCCCCCATCCAAGTTGCTGATGAAGATGTTGAACAGTGCGGGTCTGAGGACCAAGCCCTGGGGGCCCCCACTGCCCACATCCCTCCAGGTCAAATAAGACCCGTCCACCACCGCTCTCTGGGTGCGGCCCTCCAGCCAGTTAGCGACCCATCTGACTGTGTAGGTGTCGACGCCACCATCCCCTCGTTTTTTAATGAGAATGGGATGAGAGACAGTGTCGAAGGCCTTCCTGAAGTCCAGAAAGACTATGTCCACTGCTACCCCTGCATCTAAGGATGTTGTACCTGGTCGTAGAAGGCACCAGGTTGGTCTGACAGGACCTGCCTCTAATGAGCCCATGTTGGTCGCCCCTCAGCATAACCTCCCCTGCCAGCCCCTCGCGGACATGCGCCAGGATAACCCTCTCAAAAAGCTTACCCAGGACCAAGGTAAGACTACCTGGCCTATAGTTCCCTGGGTCCTCCTTCCTCCCTTTTTTGAAGATGGGGACCACACTGGCCCTTTTCCAGTCCTCCGGCACCTCACCAGAGCACCACGAGTGCTTGTAAAGCCGTGCCAGGTGTCCCGCAATGACTTCTGCTAATTCCCTCAGCACTCGGGGGTGGAGGTCGTCAGGACCAGCTAATTTGAACACGTCCAGCCCCTCCAGAAGTTCCCTGACTAGGTCCTCGCTGACCCTACGCCTGGGTGCGCCTCCCACGGGGCCTGAGGGGGTCCCGGCGGACAGACTGATCTGGTCCCTGCTCAGGAAAATGGAGGCAAAGAACTTGTTAAATAGGTTAGCCTTGTTGTCTGGTGCGACAACCAGATTTCCTAGCGTGTCTTGCAGAGGCCCCACGTTACCCACGAGCTGCTTATCCCACCATCGGGGTCTCACCCCTGAGCTGCTTATCCAAGAGCCACCGCTCTCTGGTTATGGCTCAGCATACAGTCAGCGCCAGCCTTTGCCCGGGGCCTTGCAGGTTGGGGTCCGAAGCCTCTGACTGGACATGGAGAGAGCCCGGCCTGCTACGTGCACAGGGCCAGACCCCACAAAGTCATAGCCAGGGTTGGAGTTTGCAGTTGAGAGGAAATGGGATGTGGAGGGGGGTATGCTTCCCCCTTCACCTCCCGCCACAGTGGGTTGGGACCCAGGGCAGGAGCCATCCTGGCCTGTGTGAGTCCTGTTAAGGTAAAGCAATCTCCAAGTGAAAGGCTTGGGCTGAGCTGTGTGAGAGAACGCGTATGGATGATGCCTCGAGGAAATCCCATTACTGTAACTTCCTCAAGTAAATGATAATCAAGGGTGTTTAAGAAGAGCACAGAGTGGAGGCATGCACTTGGGAACCCCTAACTAGGATTTTGGTTGTAAGATGGGGTGCACAGACTGGAGAGGTCCCAGGATGAGAGGGATATGGATGTGTAGCTTGATTGTAGAATGGCCTTGAGTTGTCTATGGGATACAGCTGTGGAAAAAAAAGGCTACTGCAATCCAGTGTGTATTTGGTGGACTCCCTGGTGACTTCTGTTTACTGGAAGTCATCCTCCTATCGAGGGACTGTTGACAAGTTGATAAAAGGAGGTGACTACTACCACTGCACCACCGTATGCCATTCTGGTCTCCAGTGTCCAAAGAGGTGAGTTCAGACTGGAACAGGTCAGGAGGGGTTTGTGGGATGGTGAAGGGAATGAAAGCCATCTCATGTCAAACAACACTGAAGGGGCTTGGCTTGGTGAGCTTAACTAAATGGAGAGGGGATCATGTTCTCCTCATGCACTGGTGGGATGAATGCTAGGGAGGACAAAGAGTTTTTTAGGCTGAAAAAAGCCTAACATTGGCACAGGATCAAATGGTTATGAACTGGCTGCAGATAAATTTAGACTGGGAATGAGAAGATTATCAGCAGGAAGTTCTGGCAGGGTCCCAGCAGAGTGGTGGGGGCAAAGACCCTGTAGCATTTTAGGACCAAACGCTAAGTTTATGGCAGAACCAGTGTGATGGGACGGGGCGTTCTTGGTTCTAAGGTCAACTTGTGAGATGTGGACTCATGTATCTGCCGTCCCCATGGTGAGGTAAAGTGATGACTCCTGTCCTGTGATTGGTGTCGGCTAATTGCAGGCTCAGGGCTCTTGCTGGCAGCTTGCAGGAGCCAGGAAGGATTTTTTTTCCCTTAATGAAAGTTACTGGCTTTGGGAGGGTGGGGGTGGGGGGCTTTCAGTTCCTCTGAAGCACTGGGACACTGGGCACAGTCAAAGCTGGCGCTTTTGGGCAAGCTGCACTGATGCTCCTGCCAGTACTTAGAAAACTCAGAGGTGTCCATGGCTAAAAGATCTTGCTGTTCTGCTCACAGTCAGACCGATTGCCAAATTTGGGTCAGGAATAATTTTTTTCCCCAGGTCAGGCTGGACCATGTGGGTTTTTGCCTTTCTCTGTAATGGGGCCAGGGTCCTGTTCCCAGGATCCTCTGGGCATCTATGACCAACTGTGTCCCTATTTTGCAGTGGCTGGACATTGGCAGCGTCCTCGTCTCCCCTGCTTGTAACTATAGTATCTGGCAGGATGCTCTGGGTGGTTCTGGGTTTGTGTTTTGCAGTTGTGTGAGAGGGTTGGAAATGCTGATTTTGTTTGAAAGTGGAGATTTTGGGGAATCTTTGGGTAAATGGCTGCCTGAATATCAAGGGCACAGGATTTGGTATCCTAGGAGGCCCCTGCCAGTTCCCTGCTCCTATTTTATTAGGTATCTAGTTAAGAAGATGACATCACAAATGTCAGGTGTGTGTGATAAAGGCAATGGTTTTGGCATAATACGCTCAAACTTCTGTAAGGCATTTGGTTTGGTTTGGGGCATTTTAGTGAAGAACTGGAACAAGTCAAAACAACATGGCACACATTAAATGGATTAAGAACTGGCTAATTGATCACGTAAGACTATTTTTAGTGGAGTCCTGCAGCGATCGACACTTTGCCCTACGCTATTTAATGTTTTTATCAGTGACTCAGAATAAAAGATAAACGAGACACTCCTGTTAATACAATTGAATATACTGTTGGCCTTCTGCAACAAAAACACACTGTTGTCTCATATTCAGCTTGAGGGTCATATGGAGTCCCCAGAGCCTTCCCTGCAGTACTGCAGCCCAGCCAGTCATTCTTAGGCTGTATTTGTGCATGTAGTTATGATGTCCCCAGTGCAGAACTTTGTACTTTATCCTTGTGAAATTTCATCTAGTTGATGAAGGACCATTTCTCCAGTGTTTTTAGATCATTCTGGATCCTAGTCCTGCCCTCTAGAGTGTCTGCAATTCCACCCAGTTTGGTGTCATCTGCAAATTTGCTAAGCATGTGCTCAATCCCATCCACCAAATCATTAACGGAGATGCTGAACAGTACCACACTTGTGTCCAAGCGGCTTGTTTGAGTCCCCAAAATAACACCGCCACAGCATCAGTCAGCTCAGCACAGGCTGCAAAGCTGATCGTATATCTTTCCATTCTCTAACAAGTCAGACTCGCACTGTCCCTCAGCCAAGGGCCCGGACATTCAGTGACTGGGGATGGGGTTTCCTTGATTGCAGGTCACTAATTCAGATCTCATCAGGATTAGTTGTGATGAGCACATATTGCCATGAGGCTACTGAGCAGCCTGCTCTGCGCAGTGCTCTTGGTGAGTCTCAGTCCAGTTTGTGTATCTGCATGACAAAAGCAGTGGTGCACCTTGGCGAGTAGGTGCCAAGGACTGAGCGGGACACAGAGACTGACCTTCCTGTCCTACTCAGACATCCTCTTCTCGTCAGCATTGAGGGGCACATCTAGGGCCCCTGGCTCTTCTGCTGCCTCAGCTACTAGAATCTGGCACCTTCCATGAGAAACTAGTTCACGGGAGAGTTAAAAGCGCAACTCACTCCTCCCTTCTGCATCTTTCTTTGCCTTGCAGCCTCCACAGTTTAAACTGGACCCACGATTAGCGCGCCTGCTGGGGATACACACGCAAACCCGGTCAGCCATCATCCAAGCCCTGTGGCAGTACATCAAAACAAACAAGCTGCAGGATTCGCACGATAAAGAATACATCAACTGTGACAAGTACTTCCAGCAGGTAAGGCCTCCTGGGGGCAAGGTCTCTGCAGAGCAGGGCAACAGCCTACCTGGCTGCAGCTTGGACATTCGGGACTTCCAGCTTCCTGTAACAACACCTCTGCACTTCTTCAGGCCCGTGTGGCTGTCAGCAGACAGAGCCTCCAGCAGGCACTGTGTCCCCACACCTGTTCACAGCCCTTCCTGCTGGGAGCTCCAGGTTGGGATGTTGTGTTGGGACAATGAATGTGGAGCCTCCTCCAGGCCCTATAGCTGGGATCAGGGGCCAGGACACAGCTTGTAACGAGGTTTGGCGGTTGGCACCACTTTGCAGTAGGCAGCAGTGGACACACTAATGGAGCCACACCCCTGATCCCAGCTATAGGGCTCGTCCTCTTCCCCAGTACTGAAAGGATCTCCTGTGTGCTGTGAGAACTGTTTTGCAGGGTTCTGAATCACAGATCCCAGCTTTCCTGATGACCATGTCATGCTAATCCTAAATGACTGGTTGCACAGACTTCCCAAGGCTGGCAGGAGCAGGACAGGCCAGATGCCCCTGGAAGGGCAGCTTTCTCCTGGATTGGCAGCCCGCTGCAGGATCCCACCCATGGGCTGTGTGCCAATTTGCATGACAGCCAGATCCCCTGGAGAAGAATCCCACCATCTTGCTGGTGTACATGGTGCTGGGTAGTGTCACCATAGTGGGGCTGCCTCCCTTTGCTCTGCCTTGTTTCTCCTTGCTTAACTTGGGGTGGAGTCATGATAGAGGCTGGAACGGATTAATGTTTCATGTGCCGGTGGGCAGAGCAGGACAGACAGGCTAGTGAAGGGTGTGTTCCAGCTGCCTGCTTATTCCTTTTCCGTAGGACATAGCTGATGCGTGGACTCAGCTCGAGGGGTTCTTGATTTCTGAAAGCGTGATCAGGCCGGTTCTGCTTTTGTGAGGATCTCAACCGGGAAGGGGGTGCTAGGTCACAAAGCTCCATCCCCATGCTTGTGGCTGTCTACAAACTCATCATGGGGGGACAGCAGGGAATAGGGGATACGCTGTTTACCAGGGCACCCATCAGGGTAACTAGAAACAATGGCCACAAACTGAAGGAGAGCAAATTTAGATTGGACATCAGGAAAAAAATATTTACAGTGAGGGTTGCCAAAATCTGGAAGCAGTGGAGTCGCATCTTACACGGGGGTTAGGTGCTAAAGTCGGCACGTAAGGCGAAAATCGCGTATAGTCAAAATTACCCTTGAAAATCCCTTAAATCGTCCCTATTGAGGGGGTTGTCAGGGCTTGATGTCGATCCAGGAGGCCATGGGACCGGCTTGGGTGACGGAGAGCGAGATCACTGTTTCTTCGGTTGAGCACCAGATGAAGTAGTTGGCTTGCGGTTAGGGGTCACGTTGTACGAAAAATATGTATCTTTAAACACTAGAATCACACTCAGCGCGGCAAGATGCTCGCACTATGAGAGGCGGGGACTCATTGAGTGGAATGGCGGGGGGAATCGCCCGCACTATTTAAATTGTTATTTTTCTCTCTTTTTTTTGCCAAGTGCATATAGTTGAATTCGTGTAAGTTAAATGCACGTATGATGCGACTCCACTGTACCTTCCACGGGAGGTGGTGCTGTCTCCTTCCTTGGAGGTAGTTAGATAAACACCTGGCTGGGATCATCTGACCCCAGCACTCTTTCGTGCCCAGGGCAGGGGTCGGACTCGATGACCTACCAGGTCCCTTCCGACCCTAAAGTCTGTGAAATCCCTGCTGTCATGGCAACCCTGCTATAGAATCCCCTTCATAAACTGACCAGGCTCCACCTTAAAGTTTCCTGGGATTTTAACCTCACGGTTCCTCCCAGAGCCTCAGTTCTCTGACAGCTAGATGCCCCCCTCTAATCCCCAGCCTAGGTCAGTGTTTACCCCATCTTGTCTGTGTCAGTGTGGTCTTTCATCTGAGATGGTACGTCCTCTCCCTGTGCAGGCCCTCTCAGCAGTCACGTTCCCTGTCAGCCATCATTTTGCCAGGCTAAACAAGCCAAGATCTTTCAGCTCCCTTTCATAAAACCAGCTTTCTATTCCCCTAATCATCCTAGCAGCCTTTCTCTGTACCTGCCCCACCCTTCTTGGATGTGGATGGCCACCTGAAACACCCGCATGACTCTGCAGTGTCACCAGGCTCTTTGCAATGGCATTCATACTTCCCCGGCTCTTCTGAAAAAACCTTACTTGCCTGTTTTTATGGAACATAAGAAACATCAGCAATGCCAGACTGAGTCCGACCAATGTGCGTCTAGCCCAGTGCCCTGTCTCTGACAGTGGCAGGAGTGGATGCTACTGAGGGAAAGCAACGAACCAGGTATCTCTAGAGCGAGCCAACCCCGTATTCAGTAGCCTCGCTGGATCCACCATTATTGGTTTAGAGATGCCACATGGTGGCCACTTCATGCTTGCAGCTGATCGTCATTCTGTTATCCACTAAGGTGATCTTTCTCCTGTCTATCATTTCCAGCTGATGAGCCATCTGTTTATAACAGAAATTATTGTTGCTGCTGCCAAAGTGCATGATCTTGCACTTTATATTCATCAAGCTATCCCTAATTCTCCCTAGCATCAGACAGGGATCATGGGTGCCTGAGGCATGGCTGCAACTCCTTTAAGGAGGCAGGGTGCCTAAAAGTCCAGCCATGAAACTGGCCATCCCTTATGGGAGATGTTTTTTTGCATTGCTTCTTTGGGCTTTCATGACCACATGCAAGAAGGTCTCCTTGTGTAAGGAGGAAATGTGGGGGTTTGATCCAGCTTCTGTCCCACCCTATACCCAAGCAGTGCACACTGGGCTTGCCCTGTCCTCTGAGGCAGATGTGTGGAGCAGCATGTGTCTGGGTGGTGGGCTCAACTGTGCTTCAGTGGCAGCTCTGCCTAACATCTCTGAGGAGCTTGTGACATCCTCTCCCTTCCTGCAGCCCATCAATCACTGCACTGCCCAGCTTCTGCAGCAAATGAGGCAGCGTCCAAGAGACAAATGCCAGTCACTGTGCTGGCCCCATTCATCGTCCATGCGGCCTGCTGCAAGAGGCAGGGGGTTTTCCTGTGGACATGTGATTAACAATTCATAGGACACCATGTAACAGTCTGTTGTTCTTCAAGGAGAAACTGGAAACCAACTCCCAAAACTGTCAATAAAAATATTTAGGTTTTGGTTTTAAAAAGTTTTTTAAAAATTTAGGGTGGGATTTTGTTTTGTTTTTTAAACATTTCAATCAAGAAGGTTATGGGAAAACTTGAGGTGGCTGCTGCTGCTTTCTTTTGGATTTTTTTTTTTTTTTTCACCATAAAATGAACTATTTTTTGCAGGGGCTTTCTGGGGAGGAAGGGGAGGATTTTAGCATTGCCTTTGACAAATAAATAGCATTTTTTTATCCAGGTGTCTTGCCCGGTGGTCGTAGTGGGAAGGATCTGCCACTAGCACAGCTAGTCCCTTAAGTGAGCTGTTCCCTTCAGCTGCAGGGGCCCTCCCTCACCCCCGCCTAGCCTACCCGGCACTGACTGCAGCCTGCCCTGCAATGAGAGGGGGTGGAAAACTGTCAGCCTGAAGTCTTCCCCAGGGCAGTTTGGAGGCGTGCTCAGTGCTGCCTCCTGCTGGAATGCCCAGCTTCTTGCTGGCTGCTCCCTGCGAGCTTCTGGGCCCAGGATAACAACCAGCTCTTTCCTCATTTCAGATCTTTGACTGTCCACGGTTAAAGTTCTCCGAGATCCCGCAGCGACTCACGAACCTGCTGCTGCCCCCGGATCCCATAGTGATAAACCACATCATCAGGTGTGTGCGCTGGGGACAGGAGCCCAGGGGCCCAACATCCCTGGGGAGTGCTTCAGCTGTGACTAGAGCTGAGTGCCCTCCTGCTGCTCCCGCAGGCCCTGCGGAGCTGGAATTCATCCTGTGCAAAGGCCCCGCTTTGGTGGGAGGTGCAGAAAATGCCCTCGTTGTAGAAGAGCCGGGCAGAGATGTGTGTTGTGCTGGAGTCACCACATCATAGAATCATAGAAAATTAGAGTTGGAAGGTGTGACGGGGGCAAGCTTTCACTCCCGGTGCAAGCACCAGCCTGTCTCCTGTCTATGGGCCAGCTGCCCACCTCAATCACCTGCCACGCCTTGATGTAGTAATATGAGGATGTTACTCAGGCGGGAGGCTACCTATTTTGAACCCCAATCTTTAAGGGGATCTCTGAAGCTCTGTTCCACCCCTACACTGCAGCCCAAGCCTTGCAGATGGCATCCCAGGCAGCTAAACTTGGCCGTACCCTTCACCCATTAGCTGTAGTCCCCTCTCTGGGACCTTTGGGCCCCCCTTAGGCCCTGGCCCTGTCTCGGGCCAGTCAGGATCCCGAGCCTCTTGCTCTCTGGGCATCCCTCATGGTGGGACCCTGGCCCTTTTGACCCCTCTATGGGTCCTGGCCCCAGCATGGACCAGTCGGGTACCTTGGGTCAGGTCTAAGCTGCTTGCCTGCTCACAGGGTTTGGGGGGTCCCCCATTTCTGGCTCAGGTGCTTTGCCCTGCAGGATTACTCACCCCAGCAGGCTCAGGCACTTCAAGAAGCTTACCTGGCTTTCCCTGCATTAAATAACCCACCCAAAGGTGGGGACTGAGGTTAAGGTGGCCTGACCCAGCTTTCACCAGGGAGGTGCTCACTCCTGGCATTTACATGGGGACTGCCATGCCACCAGCAGCCCCACCAGGCCGCCTTCCCTGGTCATGTCCAGGACAAATGAGGCCTCCAAGCCATCCCCATAGCCTCACCCTTACCTCCAAGTGTTCCTGGCAGGGCTCAGCAGAGAGGTGTTTCTCCTCTGCTGGCTGGTCACTAACTGCCCTCGGCTCAAGGAGCTGCGCCTTAAAATGGCCACCCTCATCAGGCACCTGCCTCTCCCTGGCCCAGTCCTTAGAGGCAGAAACTGCCAGTGCCCTGCCACAAGGGCTCTCAGGAGGTCATCTAGTCCAACCCCCAGTGTGAAAGACTGATGAACCACGGAACCAGTGGAAGTCACCAGGTGAGCGCCCAGGACCAGTGCAAGGCCAGGTGCAATAAGGGATTTCATAGATTTCATAGACATCAGGGTTGGAAGGGACCTTGGAAGATCTTTGAGTCCAGCCCTCTGCCCCAGGGGCAGGAAGTAAGCAGGGGTCATAGGATCCCAGCAAGATAAACATCCGAATGTCTCTCAAAGGCGTTCAAAGTAGGTGCTTGAACCACCTCTGGCGGCAGTCTATTCCAAATCTTGGGGGCTCGGACAGTAATGAAGTTCTTCCTTATGGGGTTGCTAGCACCAAGTCATACTCAATAAAGCAGGGGGCCGAACTCCAGGGCTACTGTTCTGCAGACATCCTGGGCAAGGGCTCCACTGCAGCTGTGACATGAGAATGGCAGCCACCACTTCGGTCTGTAGAAATCCAGTACCCGTTGGGGGAGAGGGTGCTGAGAGCATCCACCAGATCAAGCCCCTTCAGGAACCTGGGTGGGAGCAGCCTCACTTCACATCCCGACTGGGCTTTGGCATGAGCTGCTCAGTTCTGCTGAGACTCAATGGCTCTGGGCGTGCTTAAAAGAGAATGTCTGGGTGTCCCCAGGGCTTTGCGATCAGAACCATGGCACCTATGGCATTGGGGGTCCCTGGGAGGAGGCTATGGACCAGTGGGGTTTGCAGAACAGCAGCCCTGGAGTTCGGCCTCCTGCTTTCCTGAGTATGACTCGGTGCTAGCATCCCTTATTGCACCTGGCCTGGCGCTGGTCCTGGGTGCTCACCTGGTGACTTCCCCTGGTTCTGTAGTTCATCAATCTGTAAAACTTCATCAGCAAAAACATAATGCAAACAGTGGCAACCTGTAGGAGGTACACAGGGGTGCACGTGCACCCCCTGAAAGCACTGGTGCACCCCCTGATTGGCCGCACTTGCTGCTTAGGCAATGGGCAAGGGGGCAGGCGGGAGCGCTGGTACCCCCACTGCAAGCACTGGCCAATCGCTGCAGTTGCTTCCAGAAGCAGCTGCAGCCACTCCCGGAAGCGGCTGGAGCGAGCAGCCGCCGGGGGAAAGGCGCCGCCAGCCACTCCCGGACGCGGCTGCAGCGATCAGCTGCGGAGGAACTCTCCCAGGAGCAAGATCAGCTGTGGAGGATCCCCCTCTCCTCCCCGCCCAAGAGATTGGCAGCAAGATCAGCTGTGGGGGGACACCCCCCCCCTCGGGGGAGAGGAGGGGGGCACATCCCCCCCCGCCCCCCCGGCTAAGGCAGCACCAGTCGCCCATGAATGCAAACATGGTTTTCTTTAATTAACTTAAATTACTTTAATAATTCTAGTATGTTTAGACCTTAACATAGGGTTTCATGAATTGAAATTTGATTTAATTTTTAAAAGAATGCATTTAAATTTAAAAAGTCAATTTAAACAAAAATGACTGATACTTTATCACCGGGGTGTCAAACATGCAGCTGAGGAGCCAGGGATTTCAGGGCAGGGTGAGTGGTGACAGGGCCTGCTGTCAAATTCTGGGGTCCAGAGCCCCATTGGGGACATGTTTAAGCCTTGTCAGAGTGAGCAGCAGCTGTGGTAACCCCTGCAGTTCCCTGCTGCTGCCTGTCCTGCTGCCAGAAGTGGGTGGATCTGGCCTGGGGGCCAAATGAGTTTGACACCCCTAATTTACCTTTTTTTTAATTTAAATTGTTGATTTTGGTCCATTCTGACCAGAGTAGCTGGGAACTTCGCCCACCCCTACACCCATGCACACACACTCCCTGCTGTGTCTCGCACCAGGAAACGTGGAGGCTGCAGCTCCATGCAGTTCTGCGGGAGCAGCTTGGCCTGGACCTGGAGAACCTCTGGGCAGTCTGTCCAGTTGCAGCCCCGAGTGCATTGAAGCTGAAGGGAGGGTCACAGCTCCATGTTGTCTTCCCTGTAGCGTTGACCCCAATGACCAAAAGAAGACAGCATGTTATGACATCGATGTGGAAGTGGAAGATCCCCTGAAAGGACAGATGAGCAGCTTTCTCCTCTCTACGGCCAACCAGCAGGAGATTACTGCACTGGACAACAAGGTATTGGCATGTGAGGGAGGAGGGATCATGTCCCGAGCACATGACTGTCACATGGCACACTTGCAGGAAGATGTTGAGGGTGGGCATGCTGCAACGGAGGTGCTACGCGGGAGAAGAGGTCACAGGCTGTGTTCTGGGGCACTGACCTAGGGGTAGAGGAGGGATGGTACCAAGGGGCACATCTCGCAGGGCTGGTCCTGTGTGACTGCAGCATAGGAACAGGGTAGTTTGGAGGGGGATGACAAAGAAGCATTCCTTGGGGTGGCAATATTGACAGTTGGCAAGGCCAGAAGGTGCCTCAGATGTAACACACAGCACAGAACGTCACCACCATACCTCCGCACTGAGTCCAACAATATGCTTTGGACTGAAGAGTGTCCTTTAGAAAGGCATCTAGTGTCCAGACTGGGTGCCTTGCTGGAAGGGGCTTTAGTCACACAAGTACTGGGCTTGGTTGGTGGGTACCTGGGGCTTGTGTGTGCTAGGAGCGCATGGCCTGCAAGGGACTAGCATATACCCTGGGCTCCCCTTCCCATAACCACCACTGCTGCAGCTCTACGGCAGGACAGCACAGTAGGAGGTCCAGTGAGCTCAGCAGCACCAGCAGCGGGGTCAGGGGCCATTCGTGTTGCTTGCATGGCAGCAGGGGGGATTGCCCATGTGGCAGTGTGGGGGCTCGTACAGCAGCAGTGCGGTGGGGCTCATGTGGTGGGGGAGAGGGTGCATGCAGCAGAGGTCCTGGGGAGCCAGTGCAGCCCCTGTGGTGCTGGGGTGGTGACCTGTGCAACGCGCAGCCCCAAATGCTCTGAAATTGGGCCACCCTGTTCTGACCCTCTGTGGTCTTCCTGTGCTCCTTGCAACAGAAGAATCACTCTGTTACTTTTCTGTAGTCAAACAAAAGAGACCAAAGAACTGGTATTTTCCAAAGGGGGCTTGAGCCAAAAAGGTTGGGAACCACTGGACCAGGTCAGCGGTGCCCAAACATCTTGGGCTGCAGGCTGAAGAAGTCGTGCAGGGTCGATCTGTGGACAGATCTGGTGTACAGGATCAGCCCACGGGCCAGATTCAGCATGGGATCAGTACATAGGTGTGATCTGACATGTAGTTTCAGCCCCGTGCACCAGATCAGGCCTGTTCCTCCAGCCCTGCACACACCAGGTCAGGTCTATTTCTCTGGCCTTGGTTCCATGTATGCTGGATGGAGCCCTGGTCCCAGCTCCATGCACCATGGATTAAACCCTGGCCCTGCACGTGTTGGATCAGGCTCGCTGCCCTGTTCCCATCCCCATCCCCATGCACCCTGGATTGGGCTCTGTGTGCTGGCCTGATCCAGCATATGGGCCATTTCTTCTGGCCACAGGGCTTGGGAGTTTGGCAGTGGGGCAGCAGTGGCAGCATTAATTGCCACTGCTCCCCTGCTACCAAAGTTCTGGAGCTGTAGAGAGCCCCACAAGCTGACTCAGCTCCACAGGCCAGAGATCCAGCACCATTGAACCATGATCTGGTAGACCCTTCAGGTTTTGATGTCCATAGATCAGTGAGTATTGAAGGGGCTGCATATCAGAAACCCCTTGACCACATGACCCAACAACTTGCTTTCCACTGAATATGCTCCATTCTGCCATTCATGCTGGTTACATTGCCCTGAGTGCTCACTAGAGGCCTCCTCCTTCCTTCTGTTACAGCCGATTATCTTGACGCTGTCTCTAAAGCCCCAATGACTCCTCTGTAAGCCCTTCTAGTCTGCTGTCTGTTTCGTGTGCCATATCAGTCCTAGAGAAGTGGGGCTGGAAAGGACCTGCAGAGGTCACAACTAGTCCAACCCCTGCTTGAGACAGGAACATCCCTATCCAAACCACCCCATACAAATCTACTGTCCAACCTCTTAGTAAAACATTATGCTGCTCCTGGCACATGAGTAGTTCTGCTGACTCCAGGTGCCTGCTCTCGCAAGAAAGGCCGGCAGGTTTTGGCCCCTACATCAGCTGGTATAAGTGTTTGGTCTTGGACCTGATCAAGGCAAGCAGCAGAACAAAAGTAACATCCATTAGAGTCAGTAGCACTCCAGGTCATGCCAGAATACAAGCTCACATGATCTCCTAACCTGGGGCCTGTTCTAATGACAGGCTTACATGGCACCTCACACCCAGGCCTGGCAAAGTGGAAACAGAGAATTCCTTGTACCCTCCAGGGCAACAAGCTGGCCCCTTGACACTATATACTTCACCCTATGCAGGGCTGAAGATGTGAAGGGAGGAAGATCCTGCACAATAGTCAAACTGTACATAGGAGAGCAGAATATGGCCAGGCTATCAGGGTTAGCAACCCCACCCTGAAGAAAGGTGCCATGGGGCCCTTCATAATCCCTAGTGGTCACACTGTCAGGTCTGTATCTTGTATGAGGAACAGATTGGTGGCTGGGGCTGGCCCCTGAGTTCCTGGCACTTGGGAAGTCTTCAGTAAAAGGGCACCCATCTAATTTTTCCCGCTTTCAGATTCACGAGACAATCGAATCCATAAATCAGTTAAAGATACAACGTGACTTCATGCTGAGCTTCTCCAAAGACCCCAAAGGGTACATCCAGGACCTCCTCCGGTCCCAGAGTCGGGATCTCAAGGTGAGTGGAGATTTTGGGAGGGGGAGAGGAGGTCAGGGGGGTAGGGCTCAAACCACATAGTTCCATGAGTCCTATGAGAAGTGGCCACCATTCATGTTGATCTCAAGTAATAGTTCTTGTTTGTTCTAACCTGTGTGATTCACATCACTTTGGTTAAATAATATTGTTTCACCTCTTGGAGCACTGTGAGTGTGGGGAAGGTTCATTACCACAGAGCCATTACTTTATCATCTGTCTAATCCCTCCCTGCCCTTTAAGACTCACCTCTGCCAGTGTGCACAAAACTCACATTTTGTTAGACGGTAGAGGTAAAAGATAAGAGCTGAGCAATGTTTATAATTTTTGTCCATCAAGGATGTCCTGGCTTTGGGTCTTTTATTTCCTGTCTGCCTATCTGCAGTACAGTGGACCCCTAGTCCTTGGTGGGGAATTCTAGCTGCTGATTCACTGCAATAATGAATTATAATAATTCACAGAAATACAGATACTTTGCCTCCTTTGCAGATTGTGGATGCATATTTGCGTTGCCTGCAAGGAGCTGATAGCTAAACTTGTGATCAGATGATGAGGTTTGGGTGGCAGGATGAACTGGGGCTGTCTTGCAGTAAAATGAAACCTAATTAAATCACATAAAATGCAGCTATGTGATCCTGAAGTGCCACAGTACAGCTTTCCTGTTTGTTAGTTCTTCCTTCTCATTTCTTTTAAAGAATAAACAAGCAGATTAAATGGCAAATATTTTCTCACTGCAGTCTTGAGGCTGCCAATTTAAACGCAGAAACATCAGGAAGTTAAAAAGTTCATTTGCTTGTCAGGATGGTGAAAAAGGAAAGTTCAAATCACTATGCAATAATATTTTCCTTTCTGAGTTTCACACTTTGCACTCTGCCCCCAAATGATCACTTACCAAAAAGACAGTCACATTGCTGAAGCCGTGAGATTTCTCCCACTTTGTGTTTTAGGTAAGATTTGCAATGATTCTTGAGTTTTGGATAAGATTTTCAGTTATTACTGAGACTATTACAGGATATGCTGACACAAGCATCTTCCTTTTTATGGACAGTCCCTCACAAAACCTTTGATAACCTTTAAGGTTATCATAGTGATGAAGATGATGATGATGATTTATATTACATCCACAAGTGTGTTGGGCATCTCAAAGGTATGGAAGAGAAGCAGCATCTGAGCTGAAGAGCCTGCATCTTAGATTAGGCTGTACAGTGAGAAATAAAAGTCCCTTTATACAAAACATGTGACAAGAACAGGACACTTCAAAACATCCTAGGATCAGAGTGGAAATGGCAACCCTGGGTGATTGATGAATATTTCAGATGCCCTACAAGTTCCTGCTTAGTTTGGCACAAGCCCAATAGGTGAAAACTCCTTTGACACTTTCCAGTAGCATCCCTAATTCTGGACCACATACATGTTGCTAATTATGTATTTTACCTCATCAGAAAGATGCATGTATTGCAGAGTATAGCTTGAAAGAGGCAGTGTGTTTTGTGGTTCACATCCCTGAGAGAATGGCTCTGCCAGGAGAGGATTACAATGCCTGTTGCCTTAGGTCATTTCTGGGTATAGGGATATTTTAGGGGATTTAGGTGTTGTTTTCTGTTTATCTTGTGTAAGGATTTATTACATATCCTGCCAATTCTGAGTTCTCAGCCTCTCCCTGTGGGAACGGGGTCGGTCTGCAGGGAGGACTGGATGTGGGATAAAGGCAGCACTGGAGTGCAGGTGCTGGAGCTGAGATCCAAACCACATGATGCTGCTGGTGGAGGATGCATGGACCCCTCATGGGCTGATTGTCAGAGCTCTATAAGAAATCTTTGCCCATTTCCATAGGTGATGACAGATGTGGTTGGGAACCCTGAGGAGGAACGGAGAGCTGAATTTTATCATGAGCCCTGGTCCCAAGAGGCTGTGAGCAGATACTTCTACTGCAAGGTAAGGAGGAGATGCAGCTGTGCCTGCCTGGAGTCAGTACACGTGGGCTCAGTGGGTATGGGCAGCATGGACCCTCCTGCCGGCAGGCTGTGACATTGATATCCGGAGCTGTGCAGCTTCCTCTTTTTATTCTCCAGATCCAGCAGCGCCGGCAGGAACTGGAACAGTCTCTGGGAGTGCGTAACACATAAACACCACTCACGAAACCCCACTGGCACCGTGCTGGGGGACTTCTCCGTGTTACTTAGCTCACTGTTACACACGGACCTGCTTAGTGACTGGACAAGAATGTGCCATAGTAACACCAGTCCGAACACCAGCTGTAGAGCGACCCTTGAGAATCCTGCCAGCGCAGGCATCTCCAACCATCTTTGTCCAGAGAGGGCATCCAATCCCTGTCCCCATACAGTGTCCCCAGCAATGAAACTACAGGTTCATCCATCCACTTGCATCATTAAGTTGTAGTGGGAAGTTCAGCACCATACAGCAACCACAATGGACTATACCAGAGTTATGGGCAGGGGGTTAGCATGAGGGGTACAGAAAACCATGAATACAGAGAAATAAAGACATGGTTCCAGCTAGGAGCTGAGACCCTTTCCAGCATTCAGCACCAGCAAGTCCTTAGGATCGAGCAGAATGTCCTCTTGCCCAGCTGTGAAATCCTTCAGCTACCGAAACACACCTCCCCTGCCAGCCAGAGCAGTGCCAGGGCTACCTCACCCTGGAGAAGGGGAACAAGGAGGAATTAAACGACAAAGCATCACAAATAGCAAGGTACGGCCCGGCCACGTCTTCTGCAAGATCTGCCCCCCCACATGAAAGCCCGAGAAAAACTGTCACAAGGCAGGCCAGGAGCTCACAGAGATGACGCAGTGCTCTGTATGGAGAGGAAGAGCACCGATTCTGATCAGGACCCCAGGCGTCCTTGGCAGCAGCACCGCTAGAGCCAGCTGCATTCTGGGAAAGCTGAAGAAACCAGAGGTTCTTTGTTGGGAACCACTTTGAAGTACCAGGTGCTAGTGGAAAGCTGATGTGTCAGTCACCTGGTATTAGCAGAAGCTGGTGCGTCAGCCACCCAGTGTCTCTGCTGTTCTTCTGCGCTTGGCTTCTCATTAGGGACCAGTGCTCAAGCAAAGGATTCTGGGTCCTGAGGTGCTGCCAAGTCCTAGCTGAGCAATGTTGCAGCATGGCAGAGTGGGGCTGTGGCTTCTCCTTTCCCTGAGGCTGCCGGGAGGCACAAAGGGCAGATGCCTGCGTCTTCACCACCACTGCCTCCTCGATCTCGCACAAGGAGCGGCATGCCTGGTTTGTCACGGCTGTACTCCACAGTACATTTTCTCTCCATGTTGCCCTCTCTGCCCCCGATGTCCTCACAGGTCTCCCCCAGTAACAACTCATCCTTCTCTGGTGACCCTCCGGGTTTCTCCTGCCCAGTCCATGCACCTTTTCTGCAGTCAGTGTTTGCTCTGCCCACTGTATCCAGAGAGCGGCGGAGGCACTTGACTTGCAGCTGAAACTCATGCGAGAACCTTGCTGCAGATCACTGTGTCCTGGGCAGCAAGGCCTTCCATTGTGAGAAGGGCTGGTGCCTCAGCGCTTTGGTGAGGCTTTTGCAGTCCTTGCACCGTGCCAATGCCACAGTCTGACATGGGGACTAATGAGGTGCTGGGGAGCAAAGACCATTTAGATCTCACTTACTGTAGGACTTTTAACCTGACCACAGGCAAATTTTTCTGAAGGGAACCAGAGTGGGTCATCTGCTATTGTGCTTCCATATTTATTAGGCTGCTGTGTCAGTTGTGTGCATGCTGTCCAGTGTAAAAGCTCTTTTCTGTATGTGGTAAATCGAGCAGCTACATTCAGAGGATTGGCTCAGTTTCCAGGAATAAGACATGCAGAAGTATCCTGGGGGGATGTCAGAGAAAAGGCAGGGCCAGGCCTTGGGGCTGGGACGACAGCACATGGACCCAGAGTACTTAGATTAAGGAACTCTCCCAGCAGTGCCACACACCCGCACTGAGGAGTGCTGCTGGGGTAGGCATGAAGCCCTTGCTGCTTGTAGAAGCTTGACTGACTTCCAGCTGGAACTGAACACATCTGCTTTAGAACCTCCTTTAACGGTGTAACCACCCAGGGGAACTGCCGCAGCATCACGCGGATGTTTACTTTCCACTGCAGTGTACTGTACAGGTGCCAGATACAAACTCAAACGTACCCCGGAAAGGTGCCCTGTCACGGCTGTTTTATCATAGTGGCCACCCTCCCCTAGGCCTTATATACACCACAATTGCTCTTCCCCAACAGTTATCCTTAGGAGTGGCCGATGGCTGTTTCCCTTGGGTAAATGGGGTTTGGGAGTTTGTGCCTGTCATGTTTGGGAGCAGTGAAAGGGCAGGTCTGGAATGCAGTCCCCTAGAAACAGAAACTGTCCCTGCTCCAACTGCGCAGCCAGGAGCCGGAGCTAGGGTTATTGGCAATGTGGGCAATTGCCCGCAAGGAACAGCAAAGGAGCACCACTGGGAGGTGCAGGGCCAAACCTGCACTGCTGGGCACTGGCAGAAGGTGGAGGGACTCGGCTACCTTGTCAGCTTGGAAGGCTCTGAATAATAAACCTGGTCTGAGCTCAACAAGAGGTGGCTTTCACTTCAGGCGTGGAGGAGGTTTAGCGAGGCTGAGGATTCATCAGTTGTCCAGTAGCAACCAATGAATGTTGCAACAAGAGGTCTCTCCCATGCCAGAGAAGGAAGGTTGATATATGATGTGCGGGCCTCTGGGTCATAGTTAAGACCCAGGGGACAGTGCTGGGGAAGTAAAGCCCTGTCAAGTGCCAAGATGGGGATGGAGAAGTTGTGTCCTGGGGCTGAGGATGGGTTGAAGTGGCAGGTTTCAAGCAGTCATTTATCATTGCTGCTTTTGACCAATGGTTGAGGAATGGGAGTGAGAGCTGCCTGGGAACTGCAGGAGGGGACCACATGTGGTCAGTGACCTGCAGCACAGAATACAGCAATGGGAGGAGATGGAGCAGAGAGCCCTTGAAGTGCCATAAGTCATAGCACAGCATAATGTGTGGAGTATTATGTGGGTATAGCAGAGTCCATGTGATGCAATAGAGTGAGTGAGTGAGTGTGTGTGTGTGTGTGTGTGTGTGTGTGTGTGTGCACGCACACGTGAGCACATACTCGTGTGAATAGAGAGAGCAAGTGAGCACGATGGCCAGTCTGGTAACTGCTGTATAGCCTGGGAAATGGGCAGGTGGAGGCCCAGCCTACAGGTCTATGGAAAACTTCATTTGTATTCAGGTAGTTTCCACCAGTACTGATGCTGGCTTTGCTGAGCCACACAGCAGCGTTTGCAGCTCTGGTGCAGACGAACACACCTGCACCAGTGCCTCATTCAAACCCATGAGGATGGGGCTGTAGGGCAACACTGGGGCAGCCGTCGAGGTGTCTGTGCTGGGGCTCCCAATTCTGCCGACACTGGCCAGTCAGGATTTCCTGGTGAGGGCCCCTCCCTGGGCTGTGGGAGACAGTGCAGGGAAAGGAGGCTCCGTGTTCCTGAAGCGATCCCTCCCTACTGTCTGTAGCTGCTCTGTTGTTCAGTGAGATGTTTCTGTCCCATCAGATCTTGTGCCACAAGCGGCTTTGCCAATCGTGTCCAGGAATGGAACTCCATAGAAAAAATTGTGTGTGGGTAAGTGTGTGGGTGGGTGTGTGTGTGTGTGTACGAGAGAGCACGGCTCTCTCTACTCTGTAGCCACCATATCTTTGTTGTATGATGCAGAGTGATTCGTAGAAAAAGCTTTTAACAATAAACACTTTGTTCCTTTGTATCCTGTGCACTTACCTCATGTCTGTCCACCAAGCAGGCCCTAGCAGTGCCTCAGTGAAGCGCTTTTGGGGGGGGCAGTGGGGAGGCAGCTTTCACACTATTCTCATTGAAAATAACTGGAACATCCCTTTCTGAGAACTCCAAGGACATCAGTTCCCACAAGGTCCCCAGCACAATGTGGAGGACGTGGACTCCAGTCCAACCCGGGGGGCAAAGTGACTCGCATTCAAGCCCAACTATAATGGGAATTGATAAACCTGTGGCCTTCTCTGCAGCTCCTCTTCACCATCACAACTGCCTGTTGGAAAAAGAATGGTCCCTGTGAATATTTTCCCACCACTCCCAGCTTTCATGTGATCAGCTGGTTGTCTCCTGGTCTTGAAAGGGAGCTGGACAATAGTAAGGTCCAGCTCCCTGGGCCCTCATCACCATGCCCATCTCTGCAGGGCTCCTCCGATTCATTTCCATACCAGCTTCCTTGTGCCACCACTTCGGTCTGTGCGCCCCACAGCTGCCGTTAGAACTAGACTTGAGAAATTCTCCGGGAGCGCTGGGGCTGGGTGGTGGGGAGGGGCTGCCTGCCCTGCCTTGTTGCTTGGCCTTGGGGCCCGTGCTTTGGCAAAGGGCTGAGGGCTGTACCAGCAACAGCTCCCAGCTGGTAACAGCCCAGAGGCTCAAAACCAGCAGGAGTGAGCCAGAGACAGCAGGTGCCAACAACGGTGTAAAGCAAGTGGATGTGGGAGAGGACCCTGCTCAGCACCAGGCAGGTCAGGGAGGCAGAGCTCCTCAACCAGCCTGGTTAGGAAACAAGATGAAAGTAGGGTTACCATAAATCTGGGTTTTCCCAGACATGTCCTCTTTTTGAGGCCTCTGATCTGCATCCAGGCGGCTTTTGGAATAGGAACCAATGTCTGGGATTTTTGCTCTGCTCTGCTGGCAGCAGGGTAGGAGGGCGACTGGAGGCAGGGGCTGCATTGGGGGAAGGTGCCTGGCATCTGCAGCAGAACAAGGGAGGCACCTGCCCCTCCAGTGGGGGAAGGGCCCCTTTGAGCACAGTGGGGAGCTCTGTGGCTGGACCGGGCTAGGCTGGGACCAGTGCTGGTGCCCACACAGGCCCGACGGCCCAGGAGACACTGCCTGGAGGAAGTGGGGAGCAGGGGGGGCTGCGGCCAGGCTGCCTGGCACAGCACTGGAGACCCAGCCCAGGGCGGGGGTGACACAGGCATCCTCCCCTCTTCTCTCCTGCCCGCACCAGGACTGCGCTCGCTCCGCCGCCACTGAGATGAGTCGGAGCCACCTCGCTGCGCGCGGTCGAGCCAGGAGCACCTGAGCGCCCCTCTGGCAGGGCTGGGGGCAAGCGAGGGGCCCCAGTGGGGCTGGGCGGGTGGGTCGAGGGCAGGGCCCTGGCAGCGCCAGGGACTGCAGCTCGGGAGCCAGCAATGCCAGCATGGCCGGGGAGGGGGGGAAATGAGGGCTGCGGGGCAGGAGTGCGGGGCAGCAGTGAAGGGCACCACCAGGGACACGGGCTGCGGGTCGGGAGCACGGGGCACCCATGGGTCTGTGGGGGTCTGGAGGTGGGGAGTGCGGACACCGACGGGGAGAGGACGAGGGCGCGGGTCGGGAGTGCGGTGTGGGCCGGCAGGGCTCCTCTTTTCCGGAGCTGTAGCCATGGTAAGCCCGGGCGAAGCGAGGGGCAATGACGGGACCCCGCAGAGGCGCTCTGGCCGAGCAGACGGAGCGGGCGATGGTGGGCGCTGTCTCCTTCCCCCCTCCCCCGAGCGGACTCGAGGGCGCGCAGAGACGAGCCGCCGTTGCCGCGAGGACGCCGCACAACCGGGCAGGAAGAGGTGCTGCCGCCCGCCGAGCCCGGGGCCGGCCTCGAGACCCGGGCAGGGACCCCGCAGGGGCACGATAGACCCAGGCGGCTCGCGGAGCCCGCCATTGAACGCGGGTCGCCCGGGAAACGTAAGGCCGTGACACGGGATGTCGTGTCCCAAAGCCGTCTGGGTGATGTGGTCTTCCGCTTCTGTACTTCCGGGAGGCCATTTTGGATTATAGGGTGTGCTGGGAGATGTATTCTTGCGCCTCTACGCCCGGGCGGCCATTTTGGATCTTAGAGCGCGCTGGAAGATGTAGTCCTCTGCCTCAGAACTTCCGGTCGGCCATTTTAGGATATAGGATGCGCTGGGAAATGTAGTCTCCCGCCTGTGTACTTCCGATCGGCCATCTTGGAATATAGCGTGTGTGGGGAGATGTAGTTTCCCGTTTCTCTACTTCCGAGCATCCATTTTGGATCATGGGGCGCGCTGGGAGATGTAGTGTCCCAAGCGGGGGGATGACGTCCCTGGTTTTGCTCGAGATGCATCGGTGGCTGCACGCCAGCGTTTGGGTTGCTCTGCCAGCCACAGTATCGCACCGGTGGCTCATATTCCTCTTGTAGTCAATCAAGACCCCCACATGTCTTGGTCGTGGTGCTAGCGAGCGCAGCACTGCCAGGCTTGTAAGTCCGCTGTCGGCTCTTCCTGCCAGGGTGGAGCGCCCTGAACTTCTCTGCGTTGAAGACCATCAGGTTTTGGTCCGCCCAGCTCGCGAGTGTGTCCAGGTCGGCCTGTAACCCCAGCCTGTCTTCCAGTGTGACTGCTTCCCCCATAGCGCACGCCAGCCCTCATCTCACACCCACATCCAGATAATGAATACAGATACTGAGGAGTACTGGCCCAAGTACTGAGCCCTGAGGGATGCCACTGGTCACCTCATGCCACATTGATTTGTTCCATCTTTGGGTCCGACCCCGGAGCCAGTTCCCCAGCCACGGTCGAGGCTGCAGCTCCCCAGCTTAACTATGAGGACGTTGTGGGAGACAAAGTCAAAGGCTTTCTTGAAATCCAGATATGTGACATCAACCTAGTCTCCTTTGTCCAGGCAATGCGTCATTGAAGGAGACTGTCACAACCCAAAGTTGTGATTTTCTTGTTTGTGTGTGCTTCAGCACCGCTAAATTGTGTTCCCGCTAAATTGCAGCTCTTTTGCAGGGTGGAGCGTTCTGTTGCAATTAAGAACCCGCGTGCAGGAGCTTTAACCGCCAGTTCTGTAGCCTTCTTTGCATCGTGCATTTCTTTTGCATTATGGTGATGCACGGTACAAGGAAGTTCCCGCCATTTGTATTGAGATTTCCGCCACATTATTGGCCAGT